AAAATAATGTTTTTTTTAGCAACATCATATGACCCCTTTAATAAATTGTGGCCACAAATTCCCAAACGTTCGCAAACGTTGTTGGGGAAAAAAAATCTTAATTTGTGCCAATGATATCTTGTTTTTTTGTTTTCCACGTCATATACATTTATACTGTGAAAAATATATTTAAAAATTAAAGATAAAAATATTTTATTATTTTTTAATAAAATATTAATTTTGAACAATAATATTTGTATTTTATGTTACATTATAATAAATATAAATATTAATAAAAATTTGTAAATATATGAACTGATCTTATTTCTGCCAACCCTTAAAAGTACTGTTAGATGAATAAACCTGTAAAGAAACTATACATGGTTCATCACATTAACTCTGAACAAGTTCCATCGATATTTATCACTCAAAAAGTATCCAAATGCTTTATGTTTACAATCTATAATATGTGTGTATATATTCAGATGAAAAGGAAAGAACTGACAAGGAGAGATGATGAAGATGGAGATAGCATGCTGTCATCTACTCTTTCTGATGGGGGCAGCACCAAGCGCAAAAGGTACATTTACAGCATTAGTAAAACTACTGGTTTAGAGCGTATTATAGTCTTAAACATTCACGCTGTGACAGCTGACAGTTGCCCTAACGTATCACCTCTGGCAGCCATAAGAAGAACACGAAGAAGAACCGCATGAAGGCTCTGTACGCTGCTGTGGCAGAGGCTCGGGAGATGGGCACAGGCCGGAGACTCTGCGACCTGTTTATGGTCAAGCCCTCAAAAAAAGACTACCCAGACTACTACAAGATTATTCTGGAACCAATGGACCTGAGGACCATCGACCACAACATCCGCTCTGACAGATACCCCAGCGAAGACGCCATGATGGAGGGCATGAAGTTGATGTTTCGTAATGCACGTCACTACAACGAAGAAGGTTCACAAGTGAGTTTGAGGTTTACTACTGAGCTTGGAAAGACCGTGTAGAGTAAATGAGCTTTTTGAATCTTTTTAGGTTTTATAAATACGAACTGCTCTGTTGTGTCATAAATAGCTTGTTGGTTTAACTCTAGGTTTACAATGACGCCAACATTCTGGAGAAGATATTAAGAGAAAAACGAAGGGAACTCGGACCTCCACGAGATGACGAGGACATCGTCTCACCCAAGTTGAAAATTAGTATGTTTTGAAAGCAGTACATGTGTATACCTTTCTTTGAATTAGGGTTGAATAGGGCTGGGCAATATGGCCAAAATAATTATCACGATAAAATGTTTCATATCAGGTGATACCGATAATTATCATGATACATTTTAAATTTGTATTACCTCATTTTTATATGGTGCGATTTAATTATTCTGACTGTTTGAGTTTTATTATAATTAACCCCTGGTCTTCCATAGTAGCGTACATTTAGGTTATGATAACCACAGTTAAAACCCACACATACAGCACATCAATACCATGGTAAAATGTATCTATATTGTTTTTAGGTATTTGTATTAAAAAACAGTAGTCTAAATACTTTTGGTATGAATGCACGAACGCTATAGCTTAATCGCAAAAAATACTGCAATTGTGTTCCCTTACTCTTTTAATGCATTTAATTAATATATTTTGGTGCATAGACATTATATTGAACATTTATCAAACTCGAGGAAAATATAACGCGATAAATATCGTTACCGTTTTATCGCCCAGTGCTAAGGTTGAACAATCAAATCAAAACAAAAAACAAAATCGCAATATGGCTTAGTGCGATTATTAAACAAAAAGGTTGCAATTTAATTAAATAAATGTATGGGCGCCGTGTTTTAGAGTGAAGCGTAGCACTGTGTTGTTTTGCACACAAGCAGCTTATGATTTCGAA